TATGATTCTATGATTCTAGCTATCTTACTAAACGTAGCAGTGAGGTGAGGGAATGGTGGCATGGGCTTCAGCACAGGCTGTACAAACCCGCCTGGCCTCCTGGAAATGTACTCACATTATTACCACTGCTGCAGTGTACATCACCGCATCCTAGCTGATATTTTTAGATGAGCTTGTTAGGTTAAAGTTAGCTCAGGTATGTCTGCGTACTCTGCATATAACAACTCCAGTCTCAGTGTAGATATTGCTTCAGTCCAGTCTCCACTCAGTTCAAACTCACTCAAACACTGATTGTGTGAGTTTTGAACGTACTATTTTTAATAAGTGTTGCATAATTTTAAAATGTTCTGATTGCCTTGTTTACAAGATCAGATTTTTATTCAAATACCACTTACTAATTTCTCGTTTAAATAAAAATGTGGAGGGACTTAGTTAAATGAAAGGTACAGTCATTTCAAGTATAGAATCAGATAAAAAAAAGTCTATGTTGGTTTCCGATGCATCAAGTAAAGCACATCAAATCTAATTTGAAAGCCCTAATTGTGATGCCATTAAATCAATGGCAAACCCCCCTTTTCACGTCAGTGGATTGTGCCTAACTCTTTGTGAACGCCAAACTCTTTCAGAAGCCCAGAAAAGGCTTCATTTTTTTTAATCCATAAGCTGGAAGGATCACAAAAATCAACCAAGTATATCTCTATTATTGGAAAAGGTCCTAGAAGGCCAAACTGGAGCTACTGCATGTATTCTTAAAGTTTAGAATTTAAAGACAAAAATGGGAGGGCTCCATATCTGAAATATGTTTTGCAGAGATCACAATGGCATATCTAGAGGCTACCATAATACAAAATATCAGAGCAGTGCAAAATTTCTATAAATAAAAAATGGAAAGTGTTGTATTTATTTTGATGGGCTCTTGATCTGACCCATATTGATTTCACTGGGTGAACAGTGCCAATAAAATGCATTAGAAACTAAATAGGTAATTTAGGGTTTATTTTGTTTATATTTGTAGCATATTGTTTCTCAGGACTAAATACATGGCTTTATCTTTTTAAATATTCTTCATGTGAATATATGCTTGCCAAAAAAATGAGGCTGTTATGTACATTAAAATTGCCCTGGGGAATAGTAAAGTCATTTGATTCTGTACAGCAAGTACTGTGTTGCTAACCTCTGGCTTGCCACTCTGTCAAATGGCATTGGTTGAACAAAATTCCCTGAGAGAATTAAAACATCGATCTTTGTTATTTTGTATACATTTACATTCCCATTTGATTTGTTAAAGAAGAAATAGGAAAAGAAACAACCATTTATTTTTAATCCATCGTAATTAATAGGATCATTCATGATTAGAAATTAACATATCTAGCACCAAAAGAAGTGCATGGTTTTTTACATGGGAAGTAAAGAAGTTATAGTCTAAAATTATCACAACAAAATTGCCCTGGATTAATGGATTACAACAAGGCTGAGGGAAAATTATAACATGGAAGAGGAATGAAAGGCAGGAGGAAGGAATACATGGAAACACAATATGAGGTTGTTTGTACTGTACAATCATGTTAGGTACTAGCTTCTTGATTCTGGATTTGCTTTAATTGCATTGAAATCTTTGTTTTACATTTACATGCATCTGATGAAGGGGGTCATAGCCCACAAAAGTTTATGCCCAAATAAATTTGTTAGTCTCTAAGGAGCCACAAGTACTCCTTGCTCTTTTCATTTGTCTATGTAATTCTTTTCCTCAAACCTCTCAGACTTAGATGCTCTTGTCATTGCAGTGTTTGTGTAAATTAAAACTCCCAAGCTATATGAAAGGCAAAACAGGGAATAAAAATAGGCTATTAAATGCAAATATGAAAAATAAAGACAAAGATTCCTACTAATATTTTTTTTAAGTTTTTAAAAGTGAACACAGACCTAGCTAGAAAGAGTTGGAAACTTACTGAGAAGTTAGACTACATAGTACCCTATTCAGATGTTTGAAGGATCTCTCTTCTTTAATGCATACGCCACATCCTTTGCAAGATTGCAAACAAAAATGTGGATTTAGCTAAAGAAGGAAATGTATGATGTTAAAACTCAAGGGAGGCAGGATGAGTGATCAGAGTGTTCTGGCCTGTAGCTAAAAGGAAGATTTTCTCTCAAATTCTCCATAACATGCACCTTTGAGGACTTAGGTGTGTTTGAAAACCCCACCCTATAATAGGAGTGACTCTTCCAACTGCAGCTGCCAAAATTATCTTCCGTGCCCCTCAATCTGGCCATGTAACTTGGATTTTCAAGTCCTTTAACTGGTGCTTCCTAAAGCACTCCATCCAATTCAAACCTCTCTCCGCTCACCTTCACAGCCTTCTGCATGTGTAGCACCAGGGTTAAGGCGTTTGGTTTTCGACTGGAACGCCCGGTCGAAAAGGGACCCTGGCGGCTCTGGTTAGCACTGCTGACTGGGCCCTTAAAAGTCCAGTTGGTGGTGCAGCAGGGCTAAGGCAGGCTCCCTCTCTGCCCCGGCTCCACATGGCTCCCAGAAGCAGTGGCATGTCCCTTCAGCCCAAGGGCCGATGCAAGGAAGTTTCGTACCCTAGGCAAAACTTCCACCTTGTGCCCTCCCCCTACCAGCCCTGCGGCAGCTCCCCGCCCCCTCCCCGCCCTAAGGCGCGCCCCCCCCCATGGTAGTTCCCCCCCCCCCCAGGAGCCATGTGGCAG